TCCATTTTCTGGTATCCTCTTTGATTTCTTTCTTTAAAGACTCAAAGTTCTTGATATACAGGTCTTTCACTTCCTTGGTTAACATTATCCCCAGATATTTGATGCTGTTTATGGCTATTGTAAAGGGTGAGGTTTCTCTGATTTCTTTCTCAGTCACTTCATCATCTGTATATAATAGGGCCACTGATTTTTTTGAGTTTACCTTGTATCCTGCCACTTTGCTGAAGGTGTTTATCAGCTCTAGGAGTTCCCTTGCGGAGTTTTTTGGGTCACTTATATAAACTGTCATATCATCTGCAAATAGTGAAAGCTTGACTTCTTCTTTTCCTATTTGTATCCCCTTGATCTCCTTTTGTTGTCTTATTGCTGCAGCTAGAACTTCAAGTACAATATTGAAGAGATATGGAGAGAGTGGACTGCCTTGTCTTGTTCCTGATTTTAGAGGAATTGCATTGAGTTTTTCTCCATTTATTTTGATGTTAGCTGTTGGTTTACTGTATATTGCTTTTGTTATATCCAGTATGTTCCTGTGTATCCCTGATCTCTCTAGGACCTTTATCATGAAGGGGTGCTGGATTTTGTCAAAGGCTTTTTCAGCATCTAGTGAGATGATCATGTGGTTTTTCCTTGGCAGTTCGTTTATATGTTGGATTACATTGACAGATTTTCGTATGTTTATCCATCCCTGCATTCCTGGAATGCATCCTACCTGATCATGCTGGATGATTTTTCTGTTCTTGAATCCGGTTTGCGAGTATTTTATTGAGTATTTTTGCGTCGATGTTCATGAGGGAAATTGGTCTATAGTTCTCTTTCTTAGTTGTGTCTTTGTGTGGCTTGGGTATCAAGGTAATTGTAGCCTCGTAAAAAGAGTTTGGCAGTAAGCCTCCTGCTTGTATTGTGGAATACTTTGAGGAGTATTGGAATTAGCTCTTCTTTGAATTTCTGGTAGAATCCTGCACTGAAGACATCTGGGTCTGGACTTTTTTTGTTCGGGAGATTTTGATGACTGCTTCTATTTCATTAAGGGTTATAGGTCTGTTTAGATTGTTTATCTGCTATTGATTTAATTTTGGCAAGTGATATCTATCCAGGAAATTGTCCATTTCCTTTAAATTTTCAAATTTTGTGGAGTACATATTTTCAAAGTATGCCCTGATGATTCTCTGGATTTCCTCAGAGTCTGTTGTTATGTCTCCGTTTTCATTTCTGATTTTGTTAATTAGCATGCTCTCTCTCTGTATTTTGGTTAGTTTGGACAGAGGTTTGTCTACTTTGTTGATTTTCTCAAAGAACCAACTCTTTGTTTCATTGATTCTTCTCAATGTTTTCCTGGTTTCTACTTTATTGATTTCAGCCCTCAATTTGATTATTTCCTGGCATCTGCTCCTCCTGGGTGAGTTTGCTTCTTTTTGTTCTAGATCGTTCAGCTCTGCTATTAATTCTCTAGTATGACAGTTCTCTATTTCTTCATGTGGGTACTTAGTGCTATGAACTTTCCTCTCAGCACTGCTTTCAAAGTGTCCCATAATTTTGTTTATGTTGTGTTTTCATTCTCATTGAATTCCAGGAAGTCTTCAATTTCTTTTTTTATTTCTTCCTTTACCCAGGGATGGTGCAATTGTGCGTTGTTCAGTTTCCATGAGTTTGTAGGGTATCTTCAATTTGTGTTATTGTTGAATTCTAATTTTAATGCATGGTGGTCTGATAAGATACAGGGGGTTATTCCAATTTTTTTGTATCTGTGGAGATTTGCTATGTTTCCTATTATGTGGTCAATTTTAGAGAAGGTTCCATGTGGTGCCGAGAAGAAGATATATCCCCTTGTGTTTGGGTGGAATATTCTATAGATGTCTGTTAAACCCAGTTGGGTCATAACTTCTATTATTTCTTTTGTTTCTTTGTTAAGTTTCTCTCTGGAGGTCCTTCCTGTCTAGCGGTGAGAGCAGAGTGTTGAAGTCCCCTACTATTAGTGTGTGAGATATTATGTGCAATTTGAGCTTTAGTAATACATCTTTCACAAATGTAGGTGCCTTTGTATTTGGGGCATAGATGTTTAAAATTGAGACTTCATCTTGACGGACTTTTCCTTTGATGAATATGAAATATCCTTCTTCATCTCTTTTGATTGATTTTAATTTGAAGTCTAGTTTGTTAGATATTAGGATTGCTACACTCACTTGTTTCTTGGGTCCGTTTGATTGGAAAATCTTTTCCCAACCCTTTACTTTGAGATACCGTCTGTCTTTGATGTTGAGATGTGTTTCTTGTATGCAGCAGAAGGATGGGTTCTGTCTTCGTATCCATTCTGCTAGTCTGTGTCTTTTTATAGGCAAGTTGAGGCCGTTGACATTGAGGGATATCAATGACCATTGATTGATGATTCTTGTTTGTGCTTGATTTATTGTTAGTGAAGTTATTTTGTGTAGTTTCTCCTCCCTTTTTCTTTTGGTGTTTCGTAAAGTGGGATTATATATTGCTTGTGTCTTTGTGAGTGTAGTTATCTTCCTTGGATCTAGGTTTTCTTTCTATCAGTTTCTGTAGAGCTGGATTCATGGGTACATATTGTTTAAATCTGGCTTTGTCATGGAATGAGGTTGTATTTCTATACACATACACATATATGCAATTATTAAGGAAGAATTCATGATTTAGAAAGATGTAGTTGGGGACAAGGAGGAGTTGGAGGAGAAAGAGGTTAGGCTTAAAATAAGGTAGATAATGTATCCAATATTGGATTCCCAATTAAAAGAAATAAATGTAAAAATATCCACGTATCCAAAAAAATTTTAAGCCTTTCACAAACATGTTTGTTTTCTTCTTATTGTCGTTGACTGCATCCATCCATGCTTACAACTTTGAGACCATTTGCTCCCTCACACATAACACATTTTCTTCTCCTGTTCTAACTTTTGATACATAATTTTCTTACTAAATAGTTATTTAATCTTATTTATTCCCTAAATTCAATCACATCATTTAAATTATTTCACCTATTCCTGCTTATCAAAATTGATTTTTGTGTCAATAAGATCCTGAAGCAATTTATCTATAATTCTTTTAAAATAGTTACCCTATCTTGAATCTTATTACTGTTTCTTTCTGTGGTTGGGCTGTGTGTTCTAACAGTTACTCTAGAACAACTCTAACAATATAATACAAATCATGTATATGACTTAACATTTACCATTGCCAATTAAAATGAAGCAAATGTACAAGAATTAATGTTAATAAAATAGTTTCAATTTAACAAATGTATTATGAAATGTCTTTTGAAGATGTAACCAAATGAAATGGTTATTCCAGTATATTAGTATACAACACTGAAAAGCAAAGTTTATTTCACTTGTCAGGAGTTTTCTTAGACTAACAACATTTCATAGCTCAATAGTCAATTATTGCTAGTGTCTCATATTGGAAAGCACAACTTCAGTATTCTAGTATAATAAATAGAACTGCAATAGAGAAAACACTGAATTGCAATTAGGCCTATTGAGAAATGTTGCATTTGTTGTTTATTATATGAAGATTGCTGATTCCCTCAGTTTCTCTGGTCCATAGTTTTTTATGTGCATGGATTTTTTAAAGGATTTGAATTGAGTGTATTACACAATTTCTGATTTAGTGTTCACTTATGTAAAGCTAAGGGCATTATTCATTTCAACAACTTGGCCAATACCTGGTACTTGGAAGTTAAGAGTTTCTTTGTCAGTCACTTATTGAGCACAGAACACAGTATTGTTGTTACAGCATTGTCTAATCCCCACAGAGTCTCAGTGGTTCTCTTTCTGTTCTGAAATGCTGTGATCTGATCCAACTCAATGACTTCATCAGATTTCAGCTCCCCCTTTCATATGTGCTCTAGTGGTATTGGCACTTCTGTTGTTATTAATATTTCATTATTCAAAATTTTCTTTATCTGTAATCCTTCCTTTGCCATGGTTTCTTTTTTCTGATATTGAAGGTATCTTCTACTCTTCATCATTAAAACCAGTGGCAAGGTCACATCCTTAGTGAAGTCATCCCCAAACAATTAGTTAGAAAGACATCTATATTAAATTCACAACCTTGTCAATTCTAATCATTGTGTTTATATATAATATGATATTAATACCTTTAATGACTTAGTTATATTTATGCACCTGCTTATATTTCTTTATACTAAAAGGAACTTCTAGAATAAGAATCTTCTTTGTTCATCATTATATCCCTAACATCCTCAGTCTTTGGCAAAATGAGAACACTAACTCATCTCTAGCTGAATGGAAGGGAAGGTTGTTGCTTAACCTATACTATAAATTTTCTTTTATACGATTTGAGGTTCATTGTGAGAGGCAATGGATTTTTACTTTTTATTAAGTAATATTTCAGGAAATATAGATATTTGTCTCTCATAATGGAATCTACTTCTCTGACCACTGAGTAAGCCTATGGACTGATGAAGGGGAAGTGCATATTTTATGATCCAGGGGCATTCAAATTTAATGCCATGCCTTGCATTTTATTTATTTATTTATTTATTTTGTGACTTTTCTGCATTCTGCTGACTTGCACAAAATCCCAACTTCTCTTTCTCCCTAGTACTGGGGTAGCAGGTGCATGCCATCCTGCTTTGTAGTTTCTTAAAATCCAATGAAAATATTGAAATGACAAAAAAATTCTAAGTAGGGAACAAAAAGGCTGAATTGATGATCCCATGTTTATTTGCTATGCGACAATACAAAGATTTAAACATGGAAAGTCCTAGATACTTTTAACTTCAGTTGTAATATACTGGTGGAGGATATAATACATAATATCTAGAACAAATGAAATAATACTTTACCTTGAAAGACATTAAGTTTATTCTCCATGGCAGTTTCTGAAGATTCTTCAGCTGCTCACATCGTTGTTGGTAATTTCTTTCAGATTATAGTCTGTACTCTAAATATTTATTCATGAGCATTTCTTTCAAAATGTACCTTTTGCAGCATATAAATAGGTACTAGAAAGAACCCTGACAACTTCAAAGCAAAATGAAGTTCTTCCTGCTTCTTTCCCTCATTGGGTTCTCCTGGGCTCAATATGACCCACAAACTCAGTATGGGCGTACTGCTATTGTCTGTCTGTTTGAATGGCGCTGGGTTGATATTACCAAGGAATGTGAACGATACTTAGCTCCTAAGGGATTCGGAGGGGTTCAGGTAAGATGTTTAAAGTTTAAATGTAGAGTTTACTGTGCTCACATAAAACAATATTCTAATCAAGAATTGTGAGTCTGGACGATAAATTCTTTTCACTCATAACTTTCCTGTGGAAGGAAAAACTTTGATGAGGGTGGCTTCTTATACTTGGTTGTAGGATAATAGTGTGATCTATGCAATGTTTTTTCATATATTCAGTGTGTTATTAATCAACAGAGGGTCATGTGCACAGGTTGAGAAGTCATGTCAGATCTTTGATGAGTCCCTAGAAGATTTAGTTATGTAACGTAAGCAGTACTCTGGTACTAATTATCACTGTTCTATTTGTAAGTCTCTCCACCCAATGAAAATATTGTGGTTTACAATGCATCAAGGCCTTGGGGGGAAAGATATCAACCAATTAGCTACAAAATATGCACAAAGTCTGGAAATGAAGATGAATTCAGAGACATGGTGACAAGGTGCAACAATGTCAAGGTAAGAGATGTCACATCTTCTTTAAAATTATTTTGTATGAAAATATTTCTCTTTGTTTGTAGTTAATTTTATTTGAGTAGGTTTGAATTTCTAAAATTTTGCATTGCATTTTTTGGGGTTTTTTCGAGACAGGATTTCTCTGTATTGTCTTGGAGGCTGATCTGGAACTTGCTTTGTAAACCAGGCTGGCCTCGAACTCAGAGAGATCCACCTGCCTCTGCCTCCCGAGTGCTGGGATTAATTCATTGCATTTTTATCTGTTATTGAAAGTGCACTTCTATCTTGTCACCTTTTAAACCCGTGAATACATATCTTTTGAATTTGAAAGAATATTAATCACACAGCAAAACGTTCACTTTTAAAATTAGTAACTACAAATTCTTCCTAACATATTTCTGTCAAGCATTGTGCCAAATGGGTGCATTAAGTCATTTTATTTAATTCCTTTTTCATCACACAATTCTTGAGTTTTCTTTCCCATCACTGTTTTTAATGGTAATTGTCTACTTTCTCTTACAATGAAGAGATATCTATCTACCTTCTGGTCTTGTAATCTAAGTTTTTCTAGTGATCCTGAAAAATTTCAAACATAGTACTAACATTTTTGCACTGTGTCTTTCTTCATCAAAAACTGGTATTTTATTTGTAGTTATGGTAGTTTCTGTTTATCTCCACTTAACAGTTCTGTTTCCAAATATTAGGACCGTTGTTGATCGTATATCACATTTGTTTCCTTTCCCACTTTATTGTCTTTTCTAACAAGTCTATAAAGCAGCAGAAAATATATTCTGGAGATTTGCTAGCATGTTATGAGCTTGCCATTGAAACTCTGGATTCCTAAGTCTAGCTGAAATATGCACTTTCCTTCTCCAGGTCCGTATTTATGTGGATGCCGTTATTAATCACATGGGTGGAGCAGGTGGTGGTGCAGGAACAAGCAGTACCTGCGGAAGTTATTGCAATGCTAATAACAGGGACTTTCCATCAGTTCCAAACTCTGGTTGGGTTTTTAATGATGGTAAATGTGATGGAGAAATTTATAACTACAATGATGCTAATCAGGTAATGAGAGATATATTGATCAGAATAAATAAGTATCTAAACATCTGGGAATTCACAAGGAATTCATGGCTAGCCATTATATGTATTCTGATCCTATAGAAAAACAGCTTACTAAGACAGGATGGTTGAAAAATAGACATGAAAAAAGTGTCCTGAATGCTTGTTGCATTATTTTGTGAGGGTACACCAAAAATCAAGGTAAAAGGGAAATATGCTCCCTGGTGACTGTGTAAAAAATTTAAAAACATTGTTTTATCAATTATATAAACATCACAATATAGAGAAATATTAGAAGTCAAAAATCAATATTTTAAAACCACTTCAAGTATTAGGTTATATTTTCAGATTTGGAGCATGACACTTACTTTTATGTGGAACTTCCTGAAATGGATTCTGTGAACTGCATAAAATAAAGACGGAAGAAAAACTAGAAGGAGAGAAGCAGAGGAAGAGAGAGGAGGTCAGAGAGATAGAGAAGAGAGAAGGGATGGAGAAGAGAATTAATTAGCTAAAATTCTCATCAATTTTATCTGATACTTTCTATATATACAACAGCAAATATTTTAAAACCTATGTCCCATTTAAAACACCTGTACTACCCACATTCTAAGTAAGGCAATATGAAAATGTCCATTTGTAAATGGGTGAGTGATTGAATGGCGAAATGGATTTGTAGAACATACATGACTTTTATTAAATCAATCATTTTTTTGTTTCAATAGGTCAGAAATTGTCATCTAACTGGACTTCTGGGATAACTATATGAACAATCTCATTGACATGGGTGTAGCAGGGTTCAGAATTGATGCTGCTATGCACATGTGGCCTGGAGACATAAAGGCAGTTTTGGACAAACTGCATAACCTAAATACAAGATGGTTCTCTCAAGGAAGCAGACCTTTCATTTTTCAAGAGGTAAAACAATATTCATGTTCTTTTAAAAATTTTAATAATATAACTTAATTACAATGTTTCTCCCTTCCCTTTCCTCCCTCCAACCTCTCCCACATACCTTTCCGTACTCTCCTTGAAGTTTGTGGTCTGTCTTTTGACTTATTGCTATTACATACTCTCTCTCTCTCTCTCTCTCTCTCTCTCTCTCTCTCTCTCTCTCTCTGTCACACACACATATACATGCACATATGTTCTTAAATATAACTAATAAAGTTCATATTGCTACCAATATATTTATATGTTAGTACTGGATAATCAATTGCTATGGTCTTCCCTGGTTTCCATTTTCAGATTTCCTCAGTTGCCTGTAGTTCTTACTCTACTTCCTTGTGTGGTGGTGCATCCTTGTGGGCTTTTCTTTAAATGACATAATTTTGTAAACCATATAATAGTTAGGAGATTATCACTAAGTATCCAGTTCATAATGTAGGTTAATACCTCAGTCTGTAGAATTAGATTGTTATTAATAACAAGATTGATGTTATTCAGAGGTAGTACACCAAATTCTTTACCACAGCAAGTTCCAAGTTAGTGCAACCTTCATTAATTCATTCTCTAAATCCCCAGACACCATTATAAAAGACAGAACAATCATAATGTCTATTGTCTCAAGCCAATCTTTCTGAGTTTTAAGATTTGTCTCAAGTTAATCAGGTTTCTAAGTGTTTAGACAAATTGAAGCATTTTCTGCAGCAATGATGTCATCATTTGAAGCCTTGGTAGTTCTGTTTCCTTGGAAACATTAATGAATTTATAAGCGCTTTTGATGCAAACTTGACAGCAAGTGTTGCATCAGTGTGGAATAATGAATTTTTCCGTTGGTCAGCCATTTTGGAAGATAAGAAGTGATCCTGTAATTGGGTTTCTTTCAATTTCAATTCTTTATGGAGAAATAAGAATTTCAGTATACAGAAAGCCATTAGGAACATTTCAAATAACAAAAATATTATAAGGATTTCTAAATGGCATTATATTTAAATAATATGCTTTAAATTTATATTAAAAATTACAACTGACACAAGGTATCTGCTAGGTCATTGATCTGGGTGGTGAGGAAATTACAAGTAGTGAGTACTTTGGAAATGGTCATGTGACAGAATTCAAGTATGGAGCAAAACTCGGCACAGTTATCCGCAAGTGGAATGGAGAGAAGATGGCTTATTTAAAGTAAATATACACCATTTCTTCATCTAATCTGTCATAGATCTTTTGCCATTTGACATCAATAAGTTATATCTTCAAATATTCTAATTTAAACAGCTATGGCAAGTTGATTATTATGCCTTTATTATTTCGAAACCCCCCTAATTATATTTTCCATTTGCAATGTTAATCAATAGGTGGCCCTGGAAATCCAAACCATCACTTAACAATTTTTATCCATTTGTGATAAGTCTGTTAGATTCCAGGAATGTTTACCTATGGTCTATTAAAGCTAGGTTATTATTATAAAAAGTTTATATGCATAAATGAAACTCATACTTTGGTCAAGTATGAAATTTACATATGTTATATCACAGAATTAATTGGAAATTTTGAATGTTGTATTATTACAGCACAGTAGATTTCCATTCTATGTAGTGTAAAATGGATGTTTTACTTCTCAAGTCCATAAACTTATAATACAGTGAAAAATTTAAAGAAAAAATATTTAAGAACAAAAAGATTGTATTGTAAGACCTAAACGAGGATATGTATTATAGAAAATGATATTAGATGTGTCATATGTGCACATGTACATATAAGTTACATTTCTTATGGAATTGTCATTTATTTAGTTAACTGAGGATATGATATGAAAAGTAAATCTAAGGTGTTATGGGGTTTTGTGCTTTCTGACAGAGCTCTTGAGTTTGTGGACAACCATGACAGTCAGCGAGGACATGGGGCTGGGGGAGTATCCACCTCACATTCTGGGATGCTAGGTAGGAGAATTTTCTTTCCTCTTGTGTAACCCGCCTGTAATGACAGCATTACATTATATACTTCTGCTTTAATAACATTTTGAAACTTTCAGACTGTGTAAAATGGCTGTTGGATTTATATTGGCTCATCCTTATGGATTCACACGGGTAATGTCAAGTTACCATTGGACAAGAAACTTCCAGAATGGAAATGTAAGTCTTCAAGTTGTTCAAAGCATATTTTAATCTAGGAAAGAAGAGGTTCTGTTTTGATTTTACACAAAGTTATAGCATATGATAGTTATCATTTTGTGTTTATTCCCCAAGGTTTGTAAAGTAAGGCCATTGAAAAAGTAACAGTAAAAGCAATAGTTTAAATAAGAGAAAGAGACAGAATAAAAACAGCTGTGACTGATAAAGCCCCGACCAATAAAGTTAATGTGAAATCATGCCTGATAACACTGATTAGAATTTCAAGCTCTTTCTGTCCTTGATATAATCAATGTTAACATATTAAGATACTTTTAATTTTTCCTGTGAAATAAGAAGATAGCTTATTTGAGGGAAATTAAGGAATATAATAGATAGAAATTTATGAGTGTTACTGAACAGCGAGTTGCTAGGGAGTCTATAAACAATATGTGTTTATAGAATTATAAACAATATAAATGTTGGTTAGGTGTATAAGTTTAAACAGTTTCAGAACTAATCTAAGAAATAAGAATATCAGATATCTGAAAGACTATGCGAAGTTTTCTGTTTCAATGCAAGAATCTAGAATTGTAGAGAAACATCAAATATAAAATAGAAATGTTTTTTCATTAGACATCTGACAAATGTTTTTTTCTGTTTTAATTTCAAAGTGAGTTTCCTCTGATTTTATTGAATTTTTTCCTGCTTAGAATGAGCCTTTTTCTTTTTCAGAAATATATTCAACTTTTAGCCATCATCAAATTGTTTTTATACTTTGTTAATCTTACCAGCCAGTAGTAAGAAATCAACTAATATTGACTTAGAAATTGTTATATTAAAAGCATTTTCATAGATGTTCTTTAATTTTTATAGGAGCCAAGAACTGTGTCTCTGTTTTATGGATAAACAGAGGTATGTTTATGCTATATATAAGTTGAAGATTTTTCAGGTGGTGTTTGAAGTCTGTTATGAAACAGTTGAGTTCTTGGCTCTAATTTTCTACGCGTTAGGTGACATTGAAGAGCATTTAGTACTATTGAGAGAAGCTACTGTATTGATAGAAAAAAAGATCTTTAAAATTGCTACTGGTATTATGAATTTGCACAGAAGATAAGGACTCAGGGAACATCTGTAAATACTTGAAAGACTTAAATTAAAATTAAACACTTCAAAACAAGAGGCTTAGGTTTAGTTTGCTGTAGTGGAAAGAAATGGGCAGATACAAGCATTCAAATGACCTGATTATTTCAATAATTAAGGATGTGAATGACTGGATTGGACCACCTAATAACAATGGAGTAACAAAAGAAGTGACCGTTAATCCAGACACTACTTGTGTCAATGTCTGGGTCTGTGAACATCAGTGGCGTCAAATAAGGTGGGAGTGTCCCCAACAAATCTTGTCTCACAAGAGTGTTGTTTAACTTTGTTTAAAATTGTTGAAGTTTAAGGGTACCAGCATTTCACATGATATTGTACTTTTAGGAACATGGTTGCCTTCAGAAACGTAGTCAGTGGTCAGCCTTTCTCAAACTGGTGGGATAATGGCAGCAACCAAGTAGCTTTTGGCAGAGGAAACAGAGGATTCATTGTCTTTAACAATGATGACTGGTGAGTGGATATCAATTAAAGTAGGATTGTATACCCTTATATGCTTAGATCTTTCTTTTCTTTTCTTGTTCATTTAATTTTTCATATGTGAAAAATCTTTTAGATAATGAATTTATACCACAAAATAAATGTTCAGGGTACAGAAGAAAAGCGATATTTGATTATATATTTTCCTTATTTTTAATAAGATTTTGTTTTTGAGATCTTTTACCATATGTTACAATGGCAGTAGTATATATTCATATTTGCAAGCTCATTTTACACATTTCATAAATAATATAAAAAGTAAATATATGTCTTAACATCATTAAACAATGTACCATATTAGTACTGGAGTACTTTCCCAATACCTTTGAATATCTCTTATTTTTCATCCATTATATGTGTACAGTCTTCCTTGTTCTATGTCTTTGTTTTAAATATTTTAAAATATATGTATACTTGCATCTGGTCAATGAGTGTCTTCAAGAAGCTGCTAAATTTTGCCTTTCAAACATTCTTTATTGTCTTTCACTGTGGTTCTTTAATATGAATCTTCCTTTATTGTTTCCTCATCGGTAGTACTCTAGCTCAGACACAGGAGTGGAGGGCAAAACCTTTAATTCTAGCATCCAGCAGTTAGAGGCAAGCATATTCTTGTGAGTCTGAGGCAAGCTCTGTTTGTATGTGAGTTTCAGTAAAGTCAGGTCTGTGTAGAGAGACTCAAAAACAAAACAAAATGAAACAAACAGGAAAATAACACTTGCTCAGAGAATCTCTTTGAGAACAGGTGAGCTGTCTCAACACAAAATCAGTTTCCTTTCAGATTAAGAATATTTTCCAGAAGTTCTATTTTATTGGTTGAAAACAAAATAATTGAAGCACATATTTATTTTTAAAGTACACATGGCTGGTTGTTTAGGAACACTGGAATTACTTTATACAGTTTCCTATTACAAACTTGTATGTATTCATAGAAATGTTAGATAATATTTAACTCTAGAAAAAACCCCTTGCAGCATAATGAAATCTAATAACTTTGGAAAAAAGATGCTATTAACTTTTTTGAAGTCATAACTTCATATCTAGCAGAGCATGGACTTGAATGAATGATGGCCCTGAGTGGAGGAGGCCTTTCGTTCTTAGCTATCCTGGGTTCTCTAGATTTTTTTTGTCTGGCAGCAGTCATCACAGCCAATGAAACTAACAGAAATTTAAAATAATACCTCCAGTGTAGAAAATTATCTTGCTCTCCCACTTGCAGTCTTAGTATTTGGATTCTCTCACTGAGGCTCTGAGTACTTAGCATTCTGTAGCACAAGGTTGAGGCGTTTACTGTTATATTGATAATGGATATTCCTGCACCTGACTGGGTTGAATTTAAATTAAATGCTACTTTTTTCTAGGGCTTTGTCAGCAACTTTACAGACTGGTCTTCCTGCTGGCACATACTCTGATGTCATTTCTGGAGACAAGATTGATGGCTATTGCACTGGAATAAAAGTCAATGTTGGCAGTGATGGCAAAGCTTACTTTTCTATTAGTAACTCTGCTGAAGACCCATTTATTGCAATCCATGCTGAATCAAAGTTGTAGGACTCAAATTAAATACATATAAAGTATCAACTGTTTTATTTTTCATATCTGCCCTATTATTTTATTTTTTCTCTTCTTGATTATTACATGTGCAGCACTGGGGGATTGTCTCAAATGATTATTACGTGTGTATATGTGATGTGCATATATGAGCAATGGAATGATGTAGGATGTTTGAACAACCCTATGCGATGGCTTTGCCTCTGTCCCTTTGCCCATGTGCTGTGGTATCACATGAGTCTTCAGGTTTTTCAGGAAAACAGTGATGAGCACTGTTGAAAACTCATAATTACCTTAATTTTTAGAGTTTCTCTCCTTTAATTAAAAGCCGTAAATAATCAACTTGAATAGACAATATCATAAAACTCACATATAGTCATTAGATAACTTCCAAGATTTTCTATGTATTAGCAAAAAATGCAGTTTTTCCAAAATATTTCCCAGAACTCTGAAGTACATCCTGACAAATATATTGCTTTACCATTAATGAAATTTCCACCATGTATTTATAGATATTGCATGAAAATTATTTTTAATAAAAATTCTCTCAGAATCTAATGACATTAAAATGTTTTGGCTACTTGGAAATGCATCATTGTTCAGTTTTATATAGTTACCATTTTCTTCCAATTTCTCATAGTTATTTCAAGAAAAAATTAATTGTTCCTAATTCCACAGTACACACACACACACACACACACACACACACACAAACACACCACACACACACACAGAGAGAGAAAGAGAGATAGAGAACCAGAGAGCCAGAGAGAGATATAATTGTGTTGATCATACATCAAAGTCTCATAATATTCACTAATCACATTCTACCTTCCATCTTTAAAGCACCCTTATGCATGCACATACATGTTCAAGCCTTTTTGTTGGCATCTGGCAATGCCTTTGTGAATAAGAGTGGGAAGTTATTTACTTGATAAAAATAAGTAACCTGGGACTTATGCAGGCAAAAAATGATATTATGGATGATGGATGCATGAGTGCCACAGTTACAACCTTGGCAGATCACTAGTTTTCACAGTACAACTTTCCATTCTCTGGCTCATACATCATCACTTCCTCCATTTCCTATTTTGCCTGGAAATGTTTATCGACAAGTTTCTCTTAGGTGTGAATACTCAGTAGTCACTTATTTTTGCAGGGTTCAACACTCATGGCTCCCAAAATTTACTGTCATCAATGACAAACATAAGTTTCAATGACCAAAGCTGAGTAAAATTTATCAGTCAGACCTTTAATTCCCCATGTATCAAATCATTTTTAAGCTTCTCCTTTATTTTGGAGATTTAGTGTTCCACTGGAGACTGGTAGACTTTCTGAGGCAACACTAATGAGGAAAACCAGCTCCCCTAGCAGCTCTTACTTGCCAATTAAGCTTCGGTTGTATATGTAAGAAACATTTAGAAGGCAATTAGATACTATGCCCATTTGATGAAACAATGGCACTATATTGCCCCCTAGTTCTTCTAATATTAACAATCATGAACTCATAGCCATAATCAAAAGTCCTGCTATGAATCATCTAATCACAAGGCTATTAGTCACCTCTATAGCAGTTATGCCACTCTTTCACCAGAGTAATTTTTTTAAATTAAACTATGAATACAGAATTTTCCCAATTCCCACTCCACTTACTTCTCTCCTCTAGCCCTCTGGCTTCCTCTTGAACTTCTGATGTCTTTTTCTTAAAATTATATATATATATATATATATATATATATATACTCATGTACTTCTATACATAAACACAACCTGCTTTATTATTATAAACCTACTTGTTCTCTAAGAGCTTTGACCATATTACACTTGTGTAAATGGATAGGTTTCCTATACCAGGCATAATTTCCCTCCAGTTGAGCAGCCATTAAATCTCAAATTAGAGTCTCTGTTCACCAAGCACATCCTACTTATCATTTTGGTATTTCCACTCCATGTATATAAAGCAAGTTAAATTCTTAGTGACTTTGGTCCGTTTTACACCACAGTCTGCAAAGCACAGTCCAGCAATATGTATGGTAGTCAGCAGAGATGATGTTTCAAGTTCAATTTTAGTTTTATTTCTTTGTGTACTACATCTAAATCGTGCTATTTTCAGCAACATCTTGATGGTTAGTTCTCATAGATAAGCACAAAGCCTGTAGCTCTTTGTGAATTCTTTGGCATATTGATAATCAAATGATTGTGAAGGATTACGTCATGCCTGGTGTTCAGCTTTGCTTAATATTATGATGCTTTTAATGACTGTATTATCCAATTAAGCACAGTACTTCCCTTCAAATAGCTTTTTGTTGTTTTTTTTAAATCAAATACCTACCAAAGTAGTGGATTTCCATACTTTTTTTTCATCCATGTGTAGTTTGCTTAATCCCCCTCAACCACATTTAAATCATCATCACCTATCCTCATACGCAGCCCACCCTTTCCACCCTATTGCTCTTGCTTACTTTCATTGCACGTGTATTGCAGACACACACTGTTATGCCCCATTTCTGTGTCTTTTTAATGCCCTCATCTCTTTCTGTTTGATCATTTTTGTAGATTAATATGTACACAAAAATCTAAAATGTTTGAAAACAAGATTCTCATAACGAGAGATTACATACAACAGTTGTCTATGTCTAGGATACCTCACTCAGTATTATGTTTGCTAGTTCTACCAACCTCAGAGATAATTTTTCAAATTTATTTTTCTTTTGCAGTTGAATATAATTCCACTGTATATTAGTAACAAATTCTCTTCATTCCATTCACAACCGGTGATTATCTAGTGTTTATTCTATTTCCTAGGCATTTAGAATAGAGTAAAATGGAATTTGGTTGTTCAAGTATTTTTCTTCAGTAGCATATGGAGTCTGTTAGGCTTATAATAAAGTATTAGAGGTGAGACATGTAGTGGTTCAGAGTCTAATTAACATTTTTTTAGAAAGGGGTCTTCTGTCGTAGCTTTGGAGCCTGTCCTGGAACTCACTTTGTGGACTAGGCTAGCCTGGAACTAACAGAGATCCCCCTGCCTCTGTTTCCTGGATTCTGGGATTAAAGGCATGTGTCACTACTACCTGGCCCAGATTTAATTCCATTTATTTATTTATTTATTTATTTTGGTTTTTCGAGACAGGGTTTCTCAGTATTGTCTTGGAGGCTGTCCTGGAACTCACTCAGTAGACCAGGCTGGCCTCGAACTCACAGAGATCCGCCTGCCTCTGCCTTCCGAGTGCTGGGATTAAAGGCATGCGCCACCAATGCCCGGTGAGATTTAATTTTTTCAAGAAACCTCCACATTGATTTACATAGTGGTTGTTCCTGTTTAAGCTGAACCCAATGGTGAGGAACTTTTGGGTTCTCCTCTCCTCATAACCATGGTGGCATTTGCTATAATTTATTTTCTTGGTGTTAGCCATTCTGATAAAAGTGAGATAGAATCTAAAGATATATAATTCACATTTCCTTATATGTATGTGTGTTGAACACTTTTAAAATGTATTTATTTGCCTTTTTAATTCTTATTTTCACAACAAAATTTATCTCCATATTTCATTTTATCCAATTCACACACACACACACACACACACACAATTGTTTTCCACATTTCCTCTTCTTACTCTAATTTCTACTGTTGTCCATCTCTTCAGTTGCTTCCATTCTATCACTTAACTTCAAATTTTGGACCATTTTTCTCTTATTATTATTATCATCATCATAATTGTCATCATCATCATATTAAAAATGAGTTTGAAAGAATTGAATTGTATCTGATATGAAAGTCTCATTTCTGAATTCTAGTTTACATAGAACCTGATTGTGCTACCCATGCTGACAAGTGATAGAAACAACCAAAAGTCCTATTTATCCTCTATGCCTATGAAACACAACAATGGCAACAATGCTAAGATTGCTTTACAGTGTAATAGTGTCATTCATATATTGGCTGTAACCAACAACTCTCTAACTGGACTTGAGGCTCACTCTACAGGAACAAAATCGTAACTGGTTCTTGAATACTAGCCAATTACTTATAAATACTTATCTTTATACACACTGGTGTATATAGATTTCACTCCCCATAAGAGAAGCATCTCTTTTTTTTGTTTTTTTTTTTAAGACAGGGTTTCTCTGTGGCTTTGGAGGCTGTCCTGTAACTATCTCTTGTAGACCAGGCTGGTCTTGAGCTAACAGAGATTCTCCTGTCTCTGCCTCCCGAGTGCTGGGATTAAAGGCGTGCACCACCACCGCTGGCTGAGAAGCATCTCTTTTTTAACAGACAGGTTATTGTGGAAAATCTTAACTGACAGAACAGAGATCAACTAATTGATATGTCCAGCCCCACTTGAGAGATCAATAACACTAGTCCTATACTTTAGGCTCAGGGAAGATCACAGGGGAGGGAGCCGAATGTCTGGTGTGAGATTGTGTCTCCTAGAAATGACATGGAAATTTCACCTGTGATACCTCAAACACAAGCACTGCTTACTCAAGACCTAAACAAGTACATTGTGAATAGACATGCTAAAGTATGTGTGTGTGGGTAAACCTCACAAGGGTCTTCACCCCCCATACAAGTCACTAGAAGAAACTACAGACTACTGAGAGAGGGAGAATTAATTTCCCCCAGGAATCATCCCATTTTGCTCATTTGTTACCAAGAACTCAGTCCTGAAAACAAATACATACAAGCCACATTAAGTAGATTCAGCAAGTTGTATTTATATATTTACACATTCATAGTGTATTGCTGAGAAAAATATGCTGATTGGATCTGAAATTGTTGGCACACTCTTGTAATTCCATCATTTGGCAATGCATGCAGAAGCTGGCAGATATATGTGAGTTTGTGCATAGCCTATTATACATTCAAAGTTTCAGGCCAGCCATGGATACACAGGAAGACCCTGCCTCCAGAAATCAACAAAATAAAATATGGCATTTTATGTATATCATTAATATTTTGCATTTCAATATTTTGTTAGATAAAGAGCAGGTAAAGATTTCTTACATTCTTT